AATGTGATTAATAATCAAGCTGAACTCTGAATTATACAGTTGCTTCCAAATTCATATATGGTCTTTTACATATTCTTTTTGTCTTAAAGGCAAAATTCTTATTACAAATGTACTTCTATGAAACAGGTTCTATTAAACACTGTTTTATTTCTCTTTAGCATACAAACGGCTAGATGGTTCCACGGAATGCTGTAACAATCACAGCCTCACAGATGTGTGCTTTTCCTAAAAAAATAATTTTAATAAGCGTTTGGTAAGTTGTTCCTGAGGCAGTCTTTCTTGTCTGATATTATTATGGAACACAGGCATAGCGCTTAAATGGAATGCATGAAAACTTTCTTTTTGCTGTATTCTTTGTATAATTTTATTAAAATCACTGCATTTCAGATGTCGTGTTTCATCTGACAATCTTTAAAATTTTATAGTGGTTATATCAAATTTGCCTAAAGTGGGATATTTGAATCTAATTTATACTAGGTACACATAAATTACATTCCATTTACATAAATTTCATTATCAGTATGCTAGTGAAATGAAAATTATTGAAAGAATGTAACTTGGATTTTTCTTATTAATAAATCATTTTTAATATTGATGCATTAATATCTTATTTATAGCACACATGTCTACCTGCCCGGAAAGCAGTTGAAGCCACCCAAGTTTGTAGAACCAATAAAGATTGTAAAAAAAGCTCAAGTTCAAGCTTCTGTATAATACCTTCTTTGGAAACTCACACTCGCTTAATAAAAGTGAAACACCCACCTCAAATTGATATGCTGTATGTAGGACATCCACTGCATCTTCACTACACAGGTGTGTATTATTGTGGTAGAACCTTAGAAAATCATTAAGAGCATATGTATTCTTTTTCAGTTACAGAAACTCTGTTCAGTCCACAGTGTAGAAAAGTCCTTTGGAAACCTCTTGGCGTAATCCTTGTTTTAGCAGTGAAGAAAATAACTGAAACCAGAAAGAGGTTAAGTAGGATGATACTTGGAGTAAATGTGATTTTAAAGTTATACCCTTTTGAAAGGATAAGGACTCTTTTGATGTAAATTATAGTATTTTTTAAAAATCAGTCTCTGTAGCCAGCAAGTGACATAGAGGTTGAGCTGGCTGGATCCTACATGGCCAACTGCATGGTTTGAGTCCAGACTTGGTGGCTTGAATAACATACCAGCCGCATGTGTGTGCATGCCCAAAATCCCAAGAGAGGATGGAGAAGGGATTCCAGAATGTCCATCCCCCAGGGGATGATTCCTTACATCCCCTTAAAAAAAATCAGTCTCTGTATTTTTAGTTATAACTTATATATAGTCAGCAATTTCTTACTTTCACTTTAAAATATAAGTATATACTGGGACATGAATTTTTTCCATTCCAGTATTTTTCTTAGATGTTCTAGAATTACCAGTTACTGTTTTGGTATATGAGGCATATGGTTTGCTTATTTATGTTAGGAAGGACTTTTTCAACCAATTTAATAAATTAGCCCAAATTCACTATGCTGCTGGGGCCTGCAGGTGGCATGGTGGTTAAGGCACTGGATTCCCACATGGTTGACCACAGTTCAAGTCCTGGACCTAATGGCTTGAAAATCACACCAGACACATGTGCGCACATGTGTGCAAAATCCCAAGAGGAGAATGGAGGAAAAGAGATTTCTCACTTTCCTTCTCTTTGATTCTCTCTGATAAGCACATGTACCCTATGGCAAAAAAAAAAAATCACAATTTTGTTGTTTATCTAATATGAATAATATTCATTATTTCTTTTCCTTTTTTTCTTTTTTAGTGAGCATCACCAGTTTTATCCCACGTTTCAACTTTTTGAGCATAGATCTGCCAGTGGTTGTGGAGACATTTGTCAAGTATCCTTTCTAGTGTGAAAAATGTTTTAAGTGTATTCCTTGGAGATTGATCAGTTTTACCTTGAATAGAGCATTAGACATAGAAACCTTACAAGTGTCACTTAATTGCTAACAACTAGCACAGAGACTTTAAGGTTGGAAGAGATCAGATTGTAACTAGGAGGGAAATCAGAGAGATTGATCAAAAATGAGAAAGGTTAAAATGTGGAAGAGAAAGAACCCAGAATACAAATAGAGTTAAATTTACAGATCTAAATCTTTTTAGTAAGTTTATAAAGGATGAAAGCTTCTATTAATAGTGAGTTCAGAATTCAGGAGATTTTGCCCCATCTGAGCCTGCTGACTAAATGGAAGGTAACTCTTATATATACATAACCAGGAATTATGTAAATCTGTTCCACTGGTCCAGGGAGGAATGCATAAGAAAGATCAAACAGTTTCTACTGCTAAAATAGTAATTCAGAGGACAAAATCTCAAGTGGTCTCTATCATATCATATTTGCCTATAAAAGATGAAATTTTTAAAAAATTGATTATTACATAAATTTGAAAGAAAGTTTTGAAATGGTTCTTTATTTTGTCACTTTTAAAAAATTAATTTCTTGGGGCCAGCAGGTGGTATGGTGGATAAAGGCACTGGACTCCCACATGGCCAACCACAGTTTGAGTCCCAGACCTGGCGGTTTGCTTTCTCGCTTTCCCTTTCTCTCTCCTCTGTCTCTGTCTCTCTCTGGTCAAATTAAAAAATAATAATAACAAATGGAATTAAATAAATAATTCTTTAAAAAAATTAATTTCTTGCCTCCTGATTTACAGGGGAAAAAAAGTGAAATGGGAAACAAATGAGCAATTATGTAAAAAATGTATACAATCAAGTTCCTACCTTGTGGACACTGCAGCTTTGTCACAGAGAAACTTAGGATATAAAGGTTAAGGGCCAAAATCTTTATGCTTTTCAGGATAAAGTAATACTTTTGTAAATTGTCTTCTTCTTTGCTGTTCCTTCCACCATCTTTCCCCTTGTTGTATTATTAAAGGATTAAAAAGAGTCTTCTAAGCCAGCTCCATGGCACACTGATGTTGAGCTGCTCAAGAGAAGCCACATCCCACATGTTGATGGTGGTTCGAATCCCCAGTTGAGTTGGCGTGAAACATATTGGGCATGTGCACAGATGCCCAAGATGTGATGGGCTGAAGGAAGGAAATGGCAATGTGACCAGACCCTGTTATTTTCTCTCTCGCTCTCTCTCTCTCTCTCCTACATGCATGTGAGAATGAATAAAGAAAAAAAAAAGACAGTCTTCCTAGGAATTCATTATAGATCAGCTATAAGTGGCTAGCCTTTTTCCTAGTTGAGGTTTTTGAGCTTTAAAGTAATATAAACTCACTGGGCACAGTGGTACATGTCTATAATCCTAGCTATTTGGGAAGCAGAAAATCAGAAGTTTAAGGCTACCCTGGACAACATAGCAAGAGCCGGTCTCTAAGAAGAAAAAATTGTGTGTGTGTGTGTGTGTGTGTGTGTGTGTGTGTGTGTGTTGTGTACATGTGCACATGTATGTGTGTATAAAATAATTTGTTTTTAGTAGTAGAGATCTAAAGAGTAATGACAGAGATTTAAAGAACTGTGGTTTTCACCCAGAACTCACAGTTGGCTCCTTAACTGATTGTAACCCAGGTATCTGATTTCCCTCTCGGGAGCTCTGGCTATTGTTAATGCAGTACCCTGCTTTGCTTTAGATGGGCAGTGGATTTTAAACTCGTTCCTGGATGCTACCCTTACCTCAGTGATTGGAGACAATGATGTCAAAGATCTCATCGGATTTTTTATCTTGCTTGGTGGCAGTGTACTTTTGGCTGCCAATGTGACCCTGGGACTCTGGATGGTTACAGCACGGTAATATTTGCTCTCATCTGACCAAATCTCTTGAGTTACAACATTCAGCTATGTGGTAATATCCATTGCCATTGAAATCCTTACTTGGTATGAAATATGAAGTATTTCCTTAAAATTACATCCTAGCCAACAACTTTGAGCTTCTCCTATATCCAGAGTAACCACACTCTGTAGTGGAGAATAAGCAGAAAAAGTGAAAGACAGTCCCTGACTACATTCTAGTTTTAAAGACTGAGTGTACATACCTCGGAAGCTTGTGGAACAATTTATAAATAAGTGCAAGTTCATGTAGTACCATTTTGTGTGACTACATGTTATTTTGAAATAGTATACAGAAGAACAGGATGGGGTGAAATTAATCAGAAAAAGTTTATTGAAAAAGCATCATTAATCAAGATTTGAAGACCAACCAGACATTGGCCAAGAGGAAGGATGAGTGTTTTCTTGGCCTATATCTCTTGTCCTTTGTCTTGTTTGAAAAGTTTTTGAAAACTTAATGGTATGGTTTTTTTTGCTCTGAAAACTGAGATCTGATCAAAATTAAGTTAATAAAATTGTTTGAAGGAATCTGCTGACATTAAAGGGAAAATCTTTGTCAAATGATACCAAATAAATGAACAAAGTAGGAAGTAGGGCCTATGATATCCTAAGACATGCTTTGTCCTACAGAGTTGCCTCTTTGATAACGTGTCTCTGCACCCCATAAAGCATAAAGCAGCACAAGCCTTGACATTTAGAGTGCTGCAGGAAGTGTCTCACACCAGCAGGTAGCGTATGAGTTGAGATAGTTAGTGTTGAACCTCAGAACTAAGTTGGGTGTTCTGACCAATCATAAGACAGACCACAGATTCTTCAGCAGTCCTGGTTATCATTCTCTATAGAGCTTTGAACCCTGGACTCCTGGGGTAGATATTTTCTCCTGTGCTCTAGCTCCTGGATCCTATCTTCAGGAAGCAATGACCTTTAAACCCTGAGCCATACTCTGTCCTCACCAGCAGCTCCCATGTTTCTTTGTGTCAGGTGATTTAACACCTAGTCTTTGTTGTCTGTCTCTCCCCTGAGCTACCTCTGTGGGTCCACAGAGGACTTGGTAGTTTACAATGAGAATGGCTGCACATGAGGGCAAACATGTTGTCAGAAAGCCATACCAGGTTCAAGACCTGGTGGGGTGGGAGGAAGTCCTGGGACACATGGGGAATCAGGCTGGTGTGAAGCTGTTGGTCTTAGAAGTGTATGAGCATGCTGCTTCTTTGATGAAAAGTACACACTTCTTACACCTACTCAAGAAGTGATAAAAGGCAATAACTCATTATAGCCATGTATCCAACTTCTTCACTATGATATATTCGTGGGGTTACCTTTTCCAGATCGTTGATTTGCTTTTTAAGCACTAAATCTTTTTAATCATTTTTAATAAACTTTTTAGATTTATTACAAATTTACCTTCTTAAACAGAAATTATATATGGAATATATTATTTTAACATTTTATTAATAACAGGTCATCAGTTAATATCAGTGCTAAAACCATACGAATTGTTGGTTTATCCCACAAAACTTGGCATTTGTTCTGTACTGAGGTAAACAGTCCGTATCAAAGTGTGGTAGCAAAGTAGTACTCAGACTTTTTTAGGTAACAGCTTGGAAAATGCCATTGACTGCTTACATCATTACTTCAGTTACATAAACCAAGCAATTTACTAAGATAATTGTATATGTGCAAGTCAGTTATTTTAAAATAACTGACAAAATAATACAATAAAGGAAATCCTGAACATAAATTTCTTTTTCTGGGTAAAAACAAAATAAGACAAAACCAAAACTCGCTTTATTTTAGCTATTAAACACCTTGTTCTGTTGGTTCATAGGGTCAGGGTTTGGGAACCACTCTAGGAAACTGAGCACGTTGGTACTATTTGTTTAGACATGGCCTCATTGTATAAGAATGGTAAGCTGTGTGTGGTTTCATCAGCTTGATTGTGGACACTTCTAGAGCAAGGACCATGTCATATTCATCTTTGTACTCTGGCACAGTGCATGAGATATCATAGTACTTAATAAGTGTGGTTGAATGGATAATGATTAGTGTTATTTATGGATTAGAAAAGCATGTTTCTATTTAAGTAAGCTGTAAAAAGTATTATTAATATTTACTGTAAATACATGTTAACATAAAAAAACTTTGAAGATCTTTGTGTCCCTAGTGTACTATCATCTTTATAGAAAGAATCCATTTCTGTTTCTATAGAGCAATTAGAAAAATGAATTATTTTGAAGATTTGAAGAAAGTGTTCTTTATGTGTTGTCACTTTGTTCCCTAGTAAAACTTGATTCTCAGTGTTCTTACTCTGCATTGTTTACATTTTTGAGAGTTTTTAAAATCACCTGCAGTTTGAAAAGAATGTACATATTCTTTTCAGCATCTCAGTTTGAAAAGACATGCAGTTGAACTTAACCTTTTGATAATCGCTCTTACAGGTCGTTGTTCTAACAGCCAATTGTAAACATGTTTCATAGATATGTGGGTCTTGGTCATCATTCTATCCTGTGGTATTTCTCAAATGTCCATAATGGTGCACAGGTTTTTGTTTCTGTTTTTGTTTTTTTCTGCAAATCTTTTGACTGTGTTGTAATTCATTCTTTAGCTTTAACTTGAAGATTTAATTGCTGGCATTTGATGTTTAGCAAGAGAATAATAAATGTATACCAGCATTTTTTGTTTATCATCCTCTATGTGTTGTCTTTTTAAAAAAAAAAACTGGTATTCTTTTCGATCAAAATTGTTTCCATCACATAAAGTAAAATCTTAGTTGTTTTTAAATTCTCAATTCTAAAGCAACTTAACAATATTTATTTATATAATCTGTACATGAAAGTTGTTGCAGGCCTGTGAAAGAAGTTTTTTAAATGTGGTTTCTGTATTCTTAATATTATTTTTGAAAAAGCTGTTTTATGGATGAAGAAAGAGGACCCTCATGTTTCCTTTCATTGGTGTTTGAAAGAAGTCATATGTAAGTTAGACTGTGTTTTTAGGAATTCTTGAAGGAAAATGTTTTGACTATGACATTTGGTTTTTCTTGATGTTTTTCCCTAGCACTTCCTTGTCCCCAGAGCCAACACCCCTGCCATTCTACTGTCCCTTTTCTCCCTGGCCACTCTACCCCTCCTTACTAAGGGCTAGAGAAAATAGTCTGGGAATTTAGCCCAATTTCTGATTGACTAGCC